GTCGGGCGCTACGCCCGCCACCGGGCAGCCCCGGCCTGAGGAGAGAGGGCGTCCCCTCAGGAGCGCGGGCGAACGCCCGCGCTCCTGAGGGGACGGCCTCTCTCCTCAGGCCGGGGCTGCCCGTGGAGCCTTACCAGGGAGGCATCCCTCTTCGTTTTACCGTAAGTTTCTAACGTAGTTACTCCAGGAGAGCTATTAATGGAGCATCAAGGCCAGACCCCCGTCCATAAATCCATCACGCAACGGCTGACAGCATTTTAGCGGTTTATCCCTCCTGGAATGACAGTTGCCCCGACACAATGGGAAGCTATTTCCGATACTTGCCCCTCTAGTTATTAAAATAATCATTTTTCCAGCTAATTTTTACTCACATGTGTTCATAAAGTAACCAGTTCCAATTATTTCTCATAATTCAGACTCGTCTTTCCCATGGCTGTTCTCACAGCCCTACTCTGCATGATTTACAGTTTGAATCAATCCCTCTTACAGACAAGTGAGCAGAACTGCACACACTCGCTGATGAGGCACTGCTGGTATCGCATCATAGCACTGATTTTTCACCGCATCTATTCCCACTGTGTTTCCTGCTAGATCCTCCTCTGTTGGTTTTGGTTTTGGTTTTTTTCCACAGCTATATTCTACTGGTGGTTCATATCCAAACTATAAGGAGCCTACCTTTGGCGTCTTCAGGTGCTCACCTCTCATAAATCCCTGATATGATATGTAGGTCAACTTTTTTTATATCTCATTTCTGTTATTCCAGCCACCAATGTCATTAGGGCTTTTCTGTATGATAATCTGGTCCCTGTTTGAACAGTTGTGCCTTGCAACTGTACCGTAAACCCATCATGGGTTTTTGTGTAAGGTCACAAAGTGCTTTAAAGACCAGTCCTAACATACAGCAGATCCCCACTACAAGCTTCCCTTCACTTCAACTGTTGCCTGTAAATGCCACAGTTCAGCCAAGTTCTAATCTATTTTGCAATTTTGTGTGCAAATCCATCTCTTCTGTATCTGTTTTCAGTAATATTTTCCAATATGATATCATACCAAATACTTCTCTAGCTTCAACAGAGATTAAACTTACTGCATTAACAATGTAAGAGCTCATTTATGTTAGAAAAGAGTTTTGAGTTAATCTGGCATGAGCCACCGTGATAAATTTATCCATTAAAATCAGGCATGCCGATTACATGAGGCTTTGGCAAATGCCTTTCCACTTTTTTTTTTTTTAATAATGTTAATTTGAAGTTCTTAACCACCATGCTTACAGAAAAATTCTGCAAGAGATGTTTGGGTGAGTACCCATTCATGTTATTAGCGTCTTCCATTAACCAGATATTTCAAACAGTCAGAATCTCCATCCTTGAACTTCCTGTCTTCATCATCCCATTACACCTTCTCATGTCTTCTCAGGGAGGAAAGAATTCTGATGATCACCCAAGTCTCCATTTTTTTGAGTATTGCCATGATTTCCACCACCCCGGTGAAGATGCTCTGGTATAATTCAGTGGGAACCTGGTAGTGGTGTTTGACCAAGTGTAGAAGATAACCAGCGGGGTTTTCTCCATTAGCCTCAGGCCCATGTCCCACAGTTTATGTCCTGCCAGGTAACAAAGCCCAATTTTTCTGGGTGTACTCTGAGTAGATGACTGACACTTCACCTGTCTCCATACTCACTGGGTAGTCTCGACTCCTGAATCTCAGGCTATACCCTTTTTGTTCTGCTTTTGGTAAAGCCTTCTGTTCAGTGGTGCCTTGTGAATTCTCCTTATGTGTGTAACATCCTTAGTTTCCGTGTCTGTGTGCATACAGTGTGTCAAGACTTGCTTTTCTTCTCATCTTCTTTGGCACTTTGTCATCTGCCTACTTCTTTTTACGCTAGTATGAACCTTATTTTCGATTCTGTTTCTCTTTGTACTAGCTCATCCCTTATTATTTCCTGTCCTCATATTCTTCAGTCTGCCTTCTAGAGTTTCTTCATTCTGCATATGTTAGTAGATGATGAACTGTCTGTGTGGCATCCTTTTTCCTCCTTAATGATTTTGAATTCCCATCTGAACTCCATTTGTAATTCTTGGATTTCCTCCTGGTATGCAGGAGTTTTTGCTCCTGATATGACATGAGTTCTGTCAGGCAGCACTTTCTGGAGTAGCTTCTACCAGGTACCCACTGGAGGATAAAGCATGTTCTTTATCTGCTGTTTTACTGCCATCTCTCAGCCCCCTGATCAAAACTACATTCTTAGAATTCATCTTTTCTCTCCAGCCCTGACTTTGAAGAGGGAATAAAGACAATCCCCCAAACTTCCTCCCAAACAAATTCCCTCCAACATGCAACCCTTTGTTTCTTGCACCCTCTTCACTGTGTGATTTCAAATATACAAGTGTCAGAGAGGAAATGTAATGTACACAGTACAAGATCTCTAAAAATGAGTAATGTCATCTTAGTACCAAATTGCAATGTTAAAACTTTGTATTTCAATCTAAGAAATGTCTTATGTCTGTGAGGAAGTGTATTTTTGGCATGGGACGTGAGGCATTAGACCTTAAACCTGCCATTAGCCCAGGAACTATTACTCCTTTTTTTGCAAGTCAACCAAGTATAATTTGATAAAAGAATGGAACTCTGTATTTAGGCAGAGAGGGCGATGCTGCTTTGGCAAGTTAAGTTCCATTTTAACAGGCAGCATGTGGATGTGTCTGGGAGTTTTTAAATTAGTCACAACAACGGTGGATTAAATAGCCAAGGGAAAGTCATATGGCCGAAGAAGTATAAAAATGCAATATATTATACAGCACTGCTGTTTGTACCACAAATACCAATGAGGTCGGCAGGAGTTCTGGGGTTTTTTTTCAGGTTAGTATGAAAGCTGCAGGGAGGTGAAGCAGCTAGGGTTGTATGTGGCATAGATCTTCTATAAATTATGGTGATAATTGTTGGAGAAAATTTCACAAGGGTGAGGAATATCTAGCTACAGGAAACAGTAAAGACTTAAGGTAACTTTTGTATATGGATTTTTTTTATTTCTTCATTTTCACACGGAAAGCATTTGGGCATATTAATCCAATACATTCAGGACAACATATGATAAAACCATTCTGGATAGGAATACATTTTAAAAACACTGTCCCCACACAGATAAATAATAGGCATATCAGTGGAAAGATGCAGGATGCCAGAACACATGAATGCATCAATCCAACAAATACTTTTCAGTCAATAAGGCAGTTCGTGGAAGATTCTTTATCATGAGCAAAGGTGGCACAATCTCCCCCGAACCGTAATTTTTAACATTTTCTTTGCTTTAAAATACTACATTTTAAGTATGCAGTGATATAAGGTAGTTGTGAAGATTCTTATTGATTGACTATTGGACTTGTGTATGGTGCTTCATTTCAGTAAAATGTGAAATCAAAAAAGTCTCCCTCAGGAAGTGACATTTTGAAAACATGCAAGGGAGCCTTATAAACAGAGGCAGAAGTTATTCTACTAGACCTACCCCTATAAATGATCTTTCAAAATTTTTATAGGAAGATGACTGATAAGTAATTAGTGGGATGAAATTCTTTCCCACCATATAGGTACACAGACCCATAACAGACAGGGTAACACTTTTTTCAACATTGAACAACTACCAGGAGGCTGTTGAACTGTGCACTGCTGGTGAACACTGCACTGCTTTTGAACATTATGCTGCTAAGCCATAGGAACAGATCTTTTCCCTGACAGTGCAGTAAACCAAAATGAAAAGTTATTTTCTTCTCATTTTTATGTGACTACTATATTACTTTAATTACAAAAATATGTGTTAGTAGAGTGGTCTTCTAATTTAGATAGGTCTGAAATTTAAAATAGCAAAGTGCTATTTTAGAATCCATTAATTTGCCACTGTTGTTGTTCAGAATAAATGAACATTCAAAATCATAATATTCTAAATCCCAGATTGAAACGGTCATTTGCGAAACCCTCCATTCATGCAGTGTGTATATATAAATATTTTAACGTAACCTAAAATGTAATGAGGAACAGGCTATTTGGCTGACTTTTAGTGTGGTCTAGCAAAGGAGAAAGGGAAATGAATAAAAGGTAAAATAGGGAAAGTATGAGGAACAAGAATGAACAAGATAAACTGATTCACTAACAAACCAGAAAGGTTTCTGAAAAGTCAAGTATAAAAATTGCTACAGCCCATGGCCAGGTTAGCCAAAATATACACAAATAATCCACACCATGGCCATGGCAGCATTGCACTGATAATATTTTTGCAAGGTTGAATTAGTGCTGAACAATATTCTAGTATGTTGGGCACAAACATACCGATATTTTTTTAAGTGTCAAGCATGCATATATTCCTTTTTTGCCTTCAAGAAAAACATCTGCCACAGTTAG